GTATATATGATAACATGTTTTCGACACATATGTAGAAAACAACGCTATTTGTATACATAATCTAATAATAGTTAGATATCCGGTATACATCTATATGTATATATAATGATGGATGAATATGCATACGCAAAACGTCATGATGACTGCACTGACAACTCCACGAACTCCCTCTGGAATTCCATGACCACTGCGTGAGGTGGGCTGTGTAGCATTGCTGTCGACGCAAAAGGAAAAACTTTTCAATTTGCGCATCCTTGCACAAACGCCATTCTAGTCGCCATTCTAGCGTTGGAGACAAGACTAAGCGTCTCCAGGCCTCTTCACAGCACCAAATTGGTCGAATCGTTCCTCGACAATTCTGGCTGAAAACTATGCATAGTCATCTTGCTGGGCTTCCAGAGTGCAAGATCGCACGGAACATGGCATCCACTAGGCAAAGAGATTCCGAAGTGTTTAGCTTCGTATTGCCTTGCGCAAACTTTTCAAAAAAGGGTGCCACCTGTTCAACAGAGGGAGGAGTCAAATCTTCTTCTTCAAAAACTGCTGAAACAAAATTTGTCAGTTCATTGTTGGACCAGCCCAAATATCCTGATCCCGCGTCAAACATTTGAAAGACGTCTAGCCCACGCTTCAAAAGCTGGCAGCTCGAAATCCTACTCAGCAAGTGTGTTCTCCTTGAACTGGAGTCTTTTGTGTGCACTCCGTCCTTCTCTCCGGTCTTCTCATTCATTTCGTCTGCGAGATTTTGTAGCAAGGAGGTGAAAGCAGCGAATTGGATGACGACGCCCGTGGAATATGCAATGCTCACCGTTCCATCCACTGGCAAAGGCACATAGGAATTCACCCAGCGCTGTGCCAGGCTTGTCGGATGGGTTTCCGAAGTGGAGATCTGTGAGGAGTGCAAATGGCTATGCTTCTCGGACTCCAGAGTGGAATGCAAACGCTGTAAAGAAGCACCAGAGGTCGAAGCAGCACTGAGAGCAGGTTTGATCTCGGTGTGGCAGGTGTGGAAGGTCGCACGCAGCAAGACTTCCAAGAAAGAAATGGACTGCAGGGGCGTCAACGACGACAAATGGAGCTCTGGATCAAAGTAGCTCGCATAAACCTCATAGATCAAAGACTCCGGAGGAGAAACCAAAAGTCCCAACTCCGTAAAACTTTGCCGGACAAAGTCCCGCAGCTCTCCATGGGACCAGCGAAGCCCGTTCCCAACGGGAGTCCGGACGGAATCGGCGGAATAGCCACCGGCATAGCCGGCGGCATAGCCAGCCGTAGCCGAGGGAAAGGTGTCTTCGAACTTTGACTTCCTTGCTTCCTTGAAGGTGTCTTTTGAACGATCAATTTCTTGAACTCTATCTAGTTTCTCTTGGCATATGAGCAATTGGCGCAGGATCGTTTGATAGAGCTCTCCTGACCGCATCTTTTCGGCAATGTTGCTTCGTAGGCTTCGGTTGGCAGCTGCAGTTGAACTGAACTGTGAAGAGAAAATGTCCAGGTCAATGTATTGGCCGCATGGCAGCATCACACTTCGTGTGCCCATGGGCGCCGGCGTGTGTGATGATAGAATGGATAGACAAGAAACTAGGTCAGTGAAACTCTCCTCTGTGTTCGCTTTCCCCTCGACACAAGTCTGATCATTCTGGGAACCAACTACCGCCTTTTTGATGGCTTCGGTGCGTCCCGTCGGCAACTCTGGCATGCAGCTTGGGCTAGAGACACTGGGAGGCTCCAAGAACAGCTCCGGCTCCGAGAAGAGCTCCGGCTCCGCAGGCTCCGCAGGCTCCACAGGCTCCGCAGGCGCCGTCTCCTCACGAGATCGTCTTGGCAGTGGTGGAAGGTTTTCCAATTCTCTCTGAGTTCTGCTCGAGTGGAAACCTGCGTCCTCAGGTCCACTGTTCAGCGGGTGAAGCTCCTTCAAAAGGTCCCGAGTGGCCACATAAAGTGCATCGATTCGCCGCACAGCATCTTCACACGTTATGGCCATCTGCTGGATGTGCTGGAGCTGAATGCTTGCAATGCTCTCAGCCTGTTCTGCCTGTGGCAACACCACGTGTCCAAAGCTTCCCAATGACGCCGTTCCGGCGCAGTTTCCTCGACGGGACGCCTTGGCGCTCGCAGGTCCGGACAGTGACGCCGGTTGCAGGTGCGGCCGGTCGCGGGAGGAGTTCCCCCGTGAGGCGATCTCCGGTTGGCGCTCACTGGGACGAGCTCGACCCCCTCGTGAAGCGCCGTCGCGGGCACAGGTGGAGCAAACTCTGCGAGGAAAGGGCAAGCCCTCCCTCACATCCATGGCTGGGACATCCAAGTCGTCATGAAAGTGGTGTGAGAGACCTTAATTTTGGATAAAGACTGGTACCTTCACTGCAGTCACTGTGAAACTCCTAGATATCCATCACATGTGTCTATCAAGAACCCTTACGATGTGTCTATTGCTCACCCACTGGGGGTCTTCATAAACGGCCTTCATGTATCTGCTCTAGCTGCTTTTTCTTTGCAGTACATTGATCTTGTGAATGGTCTGAAATATACACTATAGTCACTAGACGTCTTACGTCTCAATGCAGCTCAAAGCGACACCAGCCAACGTCTGGCTCCCGCTGCTTCGACGTCTCATGTTCAACGGCCACCCACCAAAGCGTCGAACCATCATGTCTGCCATTCCAACAGCTCAGCGACTTGGACTGCCAAGCTGCGACGTCACTTTCTTGAAGCCACTGTGGCCAACAAAGCTCTTCAATGTCATAGCCTGGGCCATGGCTGGGTATCGCCTGGCGATCAAAATCAATAAATTATGAGAACTCCTGTAAAATCTTCCTCGATTCAAGCCTTGAATGAGCAACTCTTGTTGGACTGTTGGGCTGGATTAGGATGATTAGGGAACCTTTTAGGTACAGTAGTACTCTAGTCCTGTCATACGGGATGGTATATTCAATATTGCTGATCTAACAGCTATAGTATCCGGGTGGAAGGCTATTTAGTTGCTGTCCGCATGATGGCTTGCAAGCATACCAAGACTTTCTCTGATTGAACCTGCCAAAGTTGTTGGGCTTGAAAAGCATCCTCTCTACACAACCCGAAATAAGGATATGGAAACGGAAGAATCCCAGTGTGCCAGTGCACAGGGCCTAAGGTCTTGTCTCTTCCATACATTTCCGGACAAAAAGGTTGGGCAACCAAGTAGCGGTAGCCTTAGTATGGCAACAATGAGAATGGAATTGCTGCCTCGATGTCAACTCCAAGAAGTGTCAAACAATGGACGAAGCTGTATGATTCCTCTTGATTCATGCTGGAACCTTGGCTGGCTCGCGGACGTGTGGGTTGTGCATCTCCTTGCGCAGGCTTTTACACCACCTTAGTTACTCTTTGGTTACTATAGTTGGTACAAGCCACCGGGCCTTTTCATATTCTGAAGTTGACCAATCATTGGCTGTGGCAAGAACGGGATGTCGTTTTGTTCGCCCGCTGAGCACCCGAGCCCAGCTTCAAGGCATTGTGGTAGTCGGTCCCTGGAGCAAACTGGGGGTGTGGCTCGGTTGAGCTTCTAGTAGCGCACGATGCCCTTTGCTCCTAGTAGCGTCCTCTTGTTCCTTAATGCAAAACTTAATGAAACACCCTTATAAACATCCCGGTCCCCACATGACCGGGAGTTCAGTTCGGTTTTCGCTTGCCTACCTAGCAAGTGTAGGACGCCCCATGCCGAGTTACACCTATTTCTTGATGTCAATGTCTACAGAACGCTAGCGCTTTGATGTTTTTTTTGGCTGAACTTATGATGCTCCATTCCAAGCATAGTAGCGGAATACAGTTGGCAGCTGCTAGCTCTTGCCCAACCAGGACCCTTCAGCTCCAAATCAGAACATCAGTTCAAAACGTGGATGGCTGACTGGCAAGCGCAGGTTGCGTCGAAATATTGATGACATCGCTTGGAAATAAGCCCTGGTCTGCAACATCCCCAGCTGAACAAAAGAACCAGCAAAGGAGCTTCAACAACGAACATGTGAGAGCATCAAGCAGAAGTGTTGACAAGGCAAGTGGAGGGCTCAAATCATGGCAGCGTGTGCATCTCCAAGTCCAACCCCCACAGCATATCGCGAGGCACGTCTTTCCCTGCACCGAGCCAACCCAAGTGCGAAGGGCTCACATGGGAAGCGATCATGGTCGACACCAACTAGAAGCAAACTCTTCAAGAGAGGCTCACAGGGGTTTTGGGCTGTAGATTCTAGATGTTTCCAACACAAACCTTTGCTATGTTCCGGTATGTTCACGGCATGCATAGCTTAGGCCCCTGCTATTTTGATGGTCAGTTCTGTGGGCATTTCAATCCTGTCATGTTACCATCAGTGTTCTTACGTATTTTAAGGGATATCAAAGGAGAAAAGGCATACGCAATACCAGGAGTCTTTGACTCCACCTGACTGGTTTCGGTCCACACCAGGAGTCACTTTGAGCATCTTTGGCTCGAGTGTGTTGGGCGGGCACTTCCGGCCCATGCGAAGGCGGCTGCCTAGCCCTGAGGAGGCCAAACCCTTGAGTCTTATGAGGGGCTTTTTGTCTTGACTAGCTACATCTAGCTACACTTGTTGACGAAACCAGCGAACCAAACAAATATCCATCATCATCAATGAGCTTTTGTTCATCACTGTTTCGTTGGAAAAAAGGGACAACAACCTAAACCAACTGCCCATCCGATTCTGGACCGGGCTTTAAAGGCTATCGGCTATCCGATCCAGGCTCACTTACCTTCTAGAAAATGCCCAGTGGCGAACAACTTACACTGTGTACCCCTTTTATGGTTCAGGGTGTGCGTTAGTTTGAGGGCTGCCAGCCGAAAGTCCACACGGTTCATTGACAACGCTCCCTGTGACACATCCAGAAAAGTGGTGAAGCGAACATCACATTGGATTTTAAGGATTGGAACAAATGAGGATTGGAATGTGGATATGCATACAGTGCATACAGCAAATGAGGGTTCTGATCAATCACGAATATACATATTTAATCAACGCACCCATGATTAAATCCATGTGATAAACCCTCTGCACTGATGTGATGGTCACATCTCAGTCCACCAGTAGCGCTTCAGCCCGGCTGCGAATGTTTGGGATCGACAACCTCGGACGAACAAGAAACACCAATGATCGCAAGGACATCTCCAACATTATCTCCAACATATATATTAGCAAACCACTTGAAATATCTTTATATAAAGTAGGTTAAACGGTGCTTTCCACGGTGAAGGGTCTTGGAATGTCGCGGAATGGAACCCCAACAGTGAGTCCTCCCACGTTTGGTGCTCACATGTTCCTGGAGAATGCTTTTTCAAACGCCGAGAAGGATACAACAACATCCACAAGAACAACGACACCAAAAACGAGTCCGAAGGGTTGCTGGGAATCTGCTCATCGACTTGTCGGCCCACGATTCGTGCCGTGCGTCCCTTCAGCGCTCAACTCAACTCATCCGGTGGAGTTGAGTAGGAAGCGCGGTCCCTTTCCCCGAAACGGTGGCGAACATGCCACGCGGTGAGAGACGAGATCTCTTCGCATCTGCCACCACTGAGGATCTAGAAAACGAACTGTATGCAATGCAGTTGTATGGCTGTGATGCAAGTCTGGCCACGAGTTTGTGCTCATTAAAGTTTTTAGGTACATTTTCAGGTTCCATGTTAATCTTCCCGAGAGGGACATGGAAGTGAACAATGGCTCCTGCGGAGTCGAGCATTTCCTGTGTTAGTCGACCGGCCAAACTAGTCTCCAGAGACTCCAGAGACAAATTCAACTCTGAGTGGGAAACTGCTCAGTTTGTTCATTGAAGTCGATCAGAGTCGTATAACTTCAGCTTTGAGCTTGGTCACAGGTCCAAAGAACCTTATCACGGACTTGGCCGTCAAGTCTGAACATTATCCAAACGTGACCAGTGATCACGTGTGCATGTCTGTCATTCTGGACTATCTCCCGCTGAACCAGTCGAAAGCCAACAGCACAGTTCTGCTGTCAGTGGTTTGCCCAATGTATGTAACTATCATGACAATATATTTTATGTGATATGATATACTTATTTATACAACAACATATCTTGATTTAATCCACATGATTCATGAAACCCTTTAGGACCTTAGAAAGGCCATATGCCTCTATCGTTTTCAACGATTCAGCCAACTCTCTCTATTTATCTATCGATCGAATCTATCGAATCTATGTATGTATCTCTCTATCTATCTATCTATCTATCTATATGTATATCGCGACCGCTCTTCCCCAAATTGCTCATCGATAGTACTAGCGGCGATTGCTCATAATTATCAGTTTCGGATACTTTTGCGGGTGTGAATCGGAGGTCAAATTGGAGGGTCCACCAGGGCTTGCAGGGCAAATTGTAGATATGTGATAACCCAGCGTTCCACACACACACACACGCACACACTATCACACACGTGTAAGTCCGACATCGGACCCTGGCTGCCACCAGGCCACCCCAGCGAAGCTCCCCCGTGACATAGCAACTCTCGGGTCAGCATGCCAGAAGAGGCATCAAAATGGTACAAAATGCGTGCTGTATGAGGCCTCGGTTAGGCCCACCACAGATTGGCGTGCGTTGGAATGATTGCATAAAATTGCGTAGAGTTATATAGATGTAAAACGACTCTAATTTCAAAACACAATGTCTGTTTCAATCCATGCCCAAAACATCTATATATTCGTCCACGGACGGGCATTCTTATTCAAAGCAAAGACTTGTTGGCCGCAACTCTTCAGGCTCCCAGAGCCCCTTGCCCAAGCCATGTGGCCAAGAATGAAAGACTTCGGTGGCATCATCTATGCTGGCAAACGGATAGTAGAAGAACCGCGACCAGCCTTCCTGTCATCACCGGGCTGCTGACGTCCTTCAGTTCGTGTAAATTAGCCTCCGACATTAACCTTCTGAATTTCTTAGCATCTCCGAAGGCGGTCAACTCAAGCACGATGCCAATCCTCACAAGCCTCTCGGTTTTCTTAATCATTGTTGGATAAAGGTGAGGGTCAAAGCACACAAAAATACCCTGCCAATCCCTGCCAGTGGTTAGCATGAATTTCTAATTGGAAAGGCTCATGCGTCCCTTGCATGCTGCACCCCGAAGGACGCTACGAACGGGGCTCCTGGCCTTACTATGAACGGAGCAAGGAAAGGAGAACGAGATAGAACGAGTTTCCTCACCCTGCAGGACATTCCACTCACAGCCTCGGTGATGAGAACGGCCGCGGCCACATTGAGGCGGCTGGCGCACCAGTCGGCCGCGCGGCCCCGACGCAAGCCCTGCTCCGCGAAGCGTGCGGCGGTGCCTCGGATCGAGGGTCGTGCACAGCGGACGGAGGGTCGAAGCCGGCGGGTGGTTGGGCAGCGGCGTGTTCTGGCGAAATGAGAGTTGTTGTGAAGGTGTGAATGTGTGTTGCGTTAATTACAGTAGGTCAAGAATGATTAGGCCTTCTGAGCTTGACAAAACGCGAGGATGCCGAGTTTTGATTTGGCATCTCACGGCATCTCATCAAAAAGCCAACTGGCAATTGTCAAACCGGAAATCTCAAGGGAGCTCATCCCAGGCACCAAAAGCAGTGGGTGAAAATGGCGCGTCACGAAGTCAATTATTTTTCACCCCTAAACCTAAAGCAAGTTGGGCAAGGCTGCAGCAACGAGTCTCTGAAGTGCAGGCACCCAAGCATCAAATATGTATACATATATACATGTGTATATATATATATGTATATATAAATATACATCAATTATATTAATATGTAACAATGTAAAAAACAAACACGGTCAGTTCACGGTTGTTTGATTTCCAAAAGGTTAGAGCAAAGAGTTCTATGGTTTATCCGCGTCGCAGTCAAGTCTTAGTTAAAGTTTACAGGAGACAATGACACTATCCAAACACAGGAATGGGACCGCTGCGGTTGGTTGTCAGTGTATCAGGCATACCCAAGCATTCCTCGGAAGATGTTGGAGAACCTCAATCGTGACATATTTCCCTTTCGCGCTCTTCAGGTCCATGTCAACTACCACATCCCAAACCATAATTAATATAGACTATTACAGTAATAGAATAGACGTTAATCAATCAAATCAAATTGACTAACTACTAGTTATATGCTACTTCTTGACAGCTCAGATTCAAAACAAGCCACTCCCCGGGGAGCAAGGAGAGCACGGGGAAGCTGCTCCCGAGTGGTGGGAAGCTGCTCCCGAAGTGAAGGAACCTGGATGGATTCACACAATGATCAAAGTATATATATATATATTATACCCGGTTAACATAGGAATCCATGGATGAATGGATTGAAACTGAATGGTATATCCACCTCAACCTCATGGCAGAAGTTAAATCCAACCGTAACAAGTGGAGCAAAATACCCTCATGGCACTCATCATGGCTTAACACCTATGGAAATAGAGAGTGGATCCCAAAACTAGCTTTGAGCAAATACGTCGGGTCTCTCATTACCGCCCTGCCTGGCCCTCCAAAGCAAATCAAAGCACCCCTTCAAATCCACGATGTCGCTTCTCACCCCAAAGTCTCTAGCACCTCAAACCAATGTTTGTCCATCCGCCGGATCCGGTGGGGCGGCGGTCCGTGGGGGCCCGGAGGGATCGAGACTCCCAGCCTGGCGAGACGTCGGTCCCAGCGCCTTTGGGCGCTATTTGCAGACTGACCTCCACCTGAGCTGCGAAACCCCTGGGTGCCCAAAGGTGGAGCCACACATGGTCCCCTTGAGAGGTTTCGAAGAAGATTTGGAGCTTGGCCTGATTGCTGTTTTGCATTGCCCTTGCGTTGGGGGGACCAGCTTGAAATTAGCTCGATCTATCGATTTTTCATCAAAAAACACACTCTTGCCAAAGTGCCATGCGATCTCTTGATTCAAATCCCCACGGTGCCACGCTGGACTCTCCCTCTCCCTCTGGTTCGAACGACTCGAACCGCCTGGTTGAGCTCCAGCACTGCAGCCTGCATGGCTCGATGGACCGCCTGGATGGGTCGGTGCGTGCGCCATCGCTGTGCTCGTCTTCTTTGCTGTTTCGACTTGGGTCTGCAAGAAGAGATGTACCATGATGTACCAGTCTAGGTGTACCAGTCTGGTAGGCTAAGTCTTGTAGTCTGTAGGCTTAGCGAATATGATTGAATATGAAACAAATCGGCGCTGGCACTGCGATAACCAACCATCCTGAGCGTCGTTCCTCGTGTTTCAGCGACCATTCAAACATCACACTCAATGACGCTGGACCCTTGTTGTTCGTCGGGTCCGCGGACGGACGGTCTCAGGTCCATATCTGCAATCGGCACCCGGACACCTGTAACTGTCACCTGTCACAGCGTGGTAGCGACGTTTGAGAGGAGCTGCAGTTGGTCAACATGTGGGTGCGGCCCGCCGGCTACTGCGTTCCGAAGCGACCATGTGGGTGCTCCATCATCACACGCCACAAAGCGACGTCTACTTTTTGTTGGCAGGCTAGTTGCCCGGTTGGCGGCTACTATTGTACTAGGTCACCTGCTAGCTAAGACGCAAGAGGAGCTCTGACATGATAGCCTCTCAAAGGTGAAGCAATATGAAACAATGACGAATACCGTAAGGCCCCTCATAGGGCCCTGTGCGGCCTTCTCAATGACCTGATCCTTCTCCACACGTTGCGTGGCACGCGCCACGGCATGATCCGCCGCCGAGCTCAACGCGCAGCCCATGAAGCGCGTAGAAGCTGAAGCAATTGGCTGCAGCCAGCATAGGAGGTTCAAGAACTTTGCCCCTGGAATTCATGCGAGTGCCCAATAAAAACCGACTCGTCATGCAGGGGCTGCAGGAATGTCTAGGGCAGGGCAGTTCATCGTAAACCCCTTTGGCAGGCAGAAGGCAGGACCCATTCCAAAGATCACACCATGTTACGTCTCCAAACGCTGTGTCTCCAAATGTGCCAATCTCAAATCTCAATCATCAGTATATATACATGTAGTATATATAACATATTAATATATTACAGTAAGTTGTCTAAAAACATCACCCTGTGAATTCATCCACCCCCTTGGGGGTGGTCATTTATAGATCTAAATTGTGCCCACCAGGGGTCTGCACTGTAAATCTAAACACCCAGGGGAGGAACGAAAACTTCAGAATATAGAATCACAATGAATCACACACCCCATGGTTGCCATCTGGACCTGATGAGACATGCTGCCCCAAGGTGGCCCACTATAGAATCACCCACCTTACTGGCTATATCAGGCCGATATAGTTGATATAGAGTAGGTAATAGAGTAGGTGGCCTAATTCTATGGTGGACACCCAGGGTTCCCCGATCAAGCGACCAACGGACGAAACAACGATCTCACTATAAGTTAAGACACCTGGATGATTCTCTGTATAAAATTGTCTATAGGGTTATATTCTTCAAGTATAGGACAAGGAGCAATCATCAACATCCACTCCTCTATAAAAGCCATGCCCCCAGGGTTCACTTTGCCCAAAAACAGTGGTTTCTATAGAATGACCACCCCCGAAGGGTAGTCATTCTATAGCTTCCTCCATAGCATGCCCTCTATAGAATAGCCAAAATGGACCCCCGAGGGTTCATGGTTTATAGAGGAAATTCCCACCCCTATTTCTATATGTATATATATATATATATTGTATAATTAACATGGAGCTTCAGGGTCCCGCATTGAAAAAACACACCCATCACAGGGACGTCTACGGCCCACATCTGCACCTGGCGATGGAATGCCCAAGATCTGCGCTAACAGCCTTAGCGGTGACGATTGAACAAGGAACCTAGGAAATTTCAGGGCCATTTAATCCAAGCATTCAATCTACTGTTCGTGGGGGTTTTGGAAGGATGAACCACTGCTGCAAGAAACAAACATATCCAGGGCTCGCTCCTGGAACACGCCCGGTTTCCCCTTAGTGCTTTAGTGCGCAATTCCCAAAAACATGGTTCGGACTGGTGGGCTGCAAATGGAACTAACCAGTATAAAAACCATGAAAAACTAACCAAATGGAATCTCCAAGCAGGTCCGACCAGGTCCGAAAATCCGACCAGGTCCAAAACGGTGGACGGACGACTGGTCTGTGGCATCCCAACCAGTCGGCTTGGTGCACTAACCTGGACACACAACGACGCCGGGTCCGCCCCCCGCTGCAGTTCGTATGACTCCCAACCACTCGCAAGTAGGTCTTTCTTTTGGTCGTTCATAGTTGATTGGTCAGGGATTTGGCACCGTCTCACTTCCATGTGCAGTGGGCCGATTTGGGTTCTGTGGATAAGGCACACCCCGTGGCAAACTGAAATCGTCTGGCCTTCTGCAAATGACATATCATATTTCGCGATCAGTATAAACCACAAGCTCTGTCGTGCAAAGAACACCGATACGGTTTGACTAAGTCATTATCTTTTCTCGAACGAAACGGAAACGAAACGAAACAAATTGGCGCAATCAGACCGTGGCGTATTTGGTACAATAAGCACTGTCGTGCAAGCAATGGCATGCAAAGACCTGCACCTTCTGCCCGACTCAAACGTTCTCTACAACTAGTTGGTACTTGTAGTTCCTTCTGCCAACTCTCAATTCTCAATGTTACAGTAATGAGGCCGTGAACTTGTTCTGCCCTGCCCAAGTGTCTGCGCCTGCTCCCTTTCACCGTTTTGCCTTGCAAAATCCATTCCCAGGCCTCCCGGAGAACGAACGTGTGTTCGGGTCGTGGCGTTCGTGGAGCCACAGGCGAGGCCCGTTCGGGGCTGGACTCTCACCATGGGGGGCATAACATATCATAAAACCAATCAATCCGGATGATCTTGTTTTCAGACATACCCAGTCAAAACTCATGCTGAGTTTCACCTAAATAATCCTATTGCTACAGCTACAGTTTACACAATTGGTTTTATTGCCGCCATTTCTGGCATTACTACTGCTAAACTACAAAATAGTAGGTCACTACTTTGCATAATTTAAAACATAACATCAGGTTCCTGACCAGCACTCCCGCCACCACTCTCTCCCTATCTCGTTTCGCCTGTCTCTCCCTCTCTCGTTTCGGTAGGCGGGTTGATATCTTCTTGCCCCAATCCCACCAAGATGCCGTGGCTCTATAATTTATAGAGGCTCGTTCCAACGCCTTGCAAAGGGTTGAAGTGGGTGCAGCTGCCGTGTGCTCGGAGTTGGGCAGCATCCCCTTGCAGTTGAGAAGGTCACAAAGGATCTGTCTCTCATCCCTTGTGCTACGACATGTAGGACATGCTTGGGCCAATAAGAGCGCTTGTTCATGCGCCCCTCAAGTGAAGACCCCAAAAACGATCCCCGAACCATGAGAACCATTGAGAACATGTTAGTGATTTGGCGCCGGGGAGCGACCACAAGCTATGTTTCTTGGTGCCAATGTCAAGATACAGTCATGATGACCGCGGTGATGTACGATGATGACCGTCATGATGGGAGGCAGTCTGAGACAAACTGGAAACAAGCTTCCATCTAACTGCGGCAGTGGAATTTGTCTGGATAAATCCATCTCCCAACTGCTTCGCTCCCAGCTGATTCGCCCCCGGCCCGGCAGCGCTGAACGGCATCCGGCTCGCAGGAGTAATTGTACATCAACGGACCTGGTGCAGGTTCGAGACACGGATGACACGTTCGTCGAGACACCGGTGTAACACCGCTCTCTGAGCAAAATCACAAAAGAAACTGAACATCTCACCGCCCACACGGTAGAGGAAAATACTTATCGCTGTCACCTTTCAATGATGTGATGCAGTGAATTGATTTACATTGTGATTGGGTGTCATGTTTCTTCATTTTTTGCATACTAAACTCAAAGTTTAAAACACATGATACACATGTGGCGCTGAGAAGTGCACTGTGACGATTCGTCATGTGGTCATGTGTGATGTGTTGAAGTATAAATGAGGTAGGGTGTGATTGGTGTGCATAATGATTTGAAATCTATTCACATGATTTAACATGTATTATTACCCTCCCGAAAACTAACATGCACTGTGCACCCTGAAAGCCTCTGGTCTGTAAAGGAAAACAGTCTTTGAGGGTGCCATTCTCAGGGTCCATGTTAGTTTGCAGGCGTGTATTGTCTGGTGAGCTGTGCGTGCGTGGCGTCTTATATTTCTTTGTTTGCCGGTACCCAAAAGTCGATTGTACAAAAGCATTGCCTTAAAGGCATTGCCATAGCAGTTGCCCTTTGTTGGGTCTTGACTCAGTCTTGACTCAAAAGCAACACCTCACTTGCCGGGTGTGGCTCTTTCCCGCTCTGCACGTGCCTTCCAGCACTTCTCCCTTGGAGTCACCTGAGTTTGGTGAGACATGCAGAAAAAGTATGGGCCGGCCCAGGGGGATCCAGCAGGGGGCGCATGACTCCACAAACAGTTCACAAACCGTTCACATTGGCTGCAAACTGTTTGTGGATGTTTGTGGAGTTCACATTGGCAAATGTGAACAGCAATCAACACATCCAGGCTGCACAATAAAGACCCTCAAAAGGCCTGAAAACACCTCAGCCAAGCCGTCCATCCGGGCACACGGCAGTCCCCTCCATCCCCCTGTGGCTGTGACCCCGGGGTCCGTGTGGGGCCTTTGGAGGCCATCGCTACTATATAGTAACAACTTAAAAACTTTCTGGTAAATAGAAGCTTGCTTGAAAACCCACAGCCAGATACCCTGCACGGCTAAATACCAAGTAGAACGACACATATTTGACACTGTTGCTGTCAGTCGGGGCACTGTTTTGCATCAACATGTTTAAATCAGCACATGATAGCACATGTGAGACATTCCACCAATCGAGGTAAAATAGACCCATGCATATATCAGACTGACTTCAACGGAGAACAATTATCCTGCCTGTTACTATTCATTCACCCCATCCATACAATTGATTCCGATTGATCTTCTGCTGCAGCTGGCGTCCTGGGACTTCTTGGGCGACCACATCAGCTCGCAAGGGTGATGTCAAACACAACTTCCTTCCACGCTTACTGTATTCGTCCTCTGTATATAGATCCAAGTCGTTACCGCAACGTGCACGGTCCAAAAACCGAGGCTAAACCATGTGGGATTCCTGCAAACGACGCTCACACAATCATCCACGAACAGTCACATTGATTCAAAGAGACGCGTCCTTTTTGGCCCTCGATTCCAATTTGGCGTGCCAGCCGCATAAGAGTTCGGACCAAGGGTCGAATCAATAACTCATGCACGCCAGGTTGCCTGTACATGGCTGAAGACTTGCCTTCGCAGGTGGTGGTTTGGGCGAGCCACGTACTTGGGCGTCCACAGCACGCATGGTCGAAAATGATTCGACTCGTTTAGGCCGTATAGGGAAAGCCTATCATCTCCACAGTGGGTATCCACAAAACACACTCCAGTCCACAACAAACCCGTCTCCATTTCTAGCTGGTCTCAGCCATACCTCTGAACGTTTTTTTAAGAGAAGCATCCGAGGAAACGGCGGGGGTTTGATGGTGAACGGTGAAGTTCTTTGCCTCAGCCGCCCCAGCCGCTTCGTCGCTTCGTCGCCCCACTGTTGGCGAGAAACTGTGCCCGGTTTTCAGCCCACCAGCTGTGGTGACGCTGTAGTGTGCTCGACTCCATGCGGAATCGTGATCGTTGAACATCGTTCGTCTGAGTTCCACAAACTAGCGTGTCCCAAGTAACTCGTTCCTTCTTCCGGGTAATGTATGAGGCAACCGAAAAAAACCCACTCACATATTCCATGATATTCCATCAAATCTGTGAGTCCCTATAGTGCACCACCAACTGAAATCTATTGAATCTATTAATGAATGCAAATAGCGACAATGGAATAGCAACCCCGATGAAGGTCTCGCAGGTGAACACAAGCCACGACACCACCATAATTCCGGTTGATATCAGCAAGGGCTGGATAAAGAACACAACAAGTGCACAACTTAAGAAATGCACAAAATTGTCCAGCCAGAACAACAAACCATCACAAACCATATGGAAATACAACCTATACACATGGCTCCAGCTTCACTTCTGTTGCGCACCAAAACAAAGAATATTGACCAACAAAAACAAACACGCGCACAAACAAAACTGCCTAATAGCGAGTGGAAAAAAACAACATGACACACTGTCAAAGAGAGAACCTGATACCCGTCATCCAACATAATCCACACATGGGCGTGGGGAAACAAGCCACGCTTCTAGAGCACACTGGCACTGCCCCAGTGCGACGCCAGGGCGGGGCGAAACTTCTGGTTAGGCCGGCAGCGGATCACCTCTTGGCTCCCTACCGATTATTGCGCATGTCTGACGTACAGTATATTTTAATTCGATGGCATTTCCTGGTCAAACCTAATTGCATGAGGTGCACGGTGTCGATTGAGTGCGGGAATTCTTGTATGATGAGATCGGATGAGGGATGCACAAAAGGAACTCGACGTGTGACGTGGGTCCCGTGGTTACTTCTGGTCTGTTCGCGTGCCATCTCAAACTTTTGCAGTCATCACACATGGCCCCTGACCGAAAATGACCAGCACTTTGGAGAACCCTCATCAACTCAGAAAACAAACTGAGGAACAAAGATCTGCTGACCCAAATGTCATAGAGAGAACAAAACGGAGAAGATGTCAAGGTTCAAATCTTTGCGGGAAATCAGCTGGCTAAACTCGTTGCGTCTCCTGAGAGCATACGATCCTTGCAAGATCTGCACTGGCACTGGAACCCTCAATCGCACAGACCAAGCAACCACCGACCGGCCGTCTTGCTCGAGCTGTGGTCACATATGATCTCGAGGAATCTCGACTCAATCGTCACCCACCGGTATACGGTCGTGGTGATCTGTCAGATGGGGTACATTCTGCGAGTTGGGAATGGGTAAAGCCTGCCAGTCTGATTCAAATCAGGCACCCGCCTAGAGTCCTAGAGCGACCTGCCCACTCCGAGAGGTGATGGAAGGAAGAAGGAAGGGCATGGAGGATCCTGACAACTGACCTCGCAATTGTTTTGGCATATATATGTTCTGACACATCTTCTCTGCACATCTTCTGACATATGTTCTGATATGTGCTCTGACACGCATATATATATATATTAATATATATATATATCTTAAATAAATATATATATAACTATATATATATGTACATAATTATACATATATGATCATATATGATGTCCCGGCAACAAGTCTGGCATAAATACGGTTCTGACGCGTCTTCTCGCATGAGTGCTCTGACATGCATTCTGACACCTGTCCCGGATTCCTGTGTGGCGGCACATCGTTCTTACGAATGGTTCTCGCACGTGTTCCGAGCCTCAGATCAAAGGAGTGCGACAGAAAGGAAGAGGACCAAAGGAGCGAGGAGTAGACACCCGGGGCTCTCTGACAAGTGGGGAAGAGCAACCTGGTGAAGGTTGCAACCCCTGAAGATCTGTGTTGTGGGAGATGTGTCTGCATCATGATGATCGATTCGATCCCGTTCCTGTAGAAACTGGAGATTCGCATGCGATTGAGCCGAACTGCAAGCATTGGCCAAGGTAGCCCAAAGATTCTGTGACACTGGCAACAGTTTTGGGAGTCGAACACCCAAGCCTGTCAACAAACGCCCACCAGTGGATGGACTGGCTGTGGCCATGGATGCCCGGGTGCGAGGCACCAATCATGCCGTGAGCTGGGAGTCATTAGAGAACATTCATGGAATGGATCATAGCCAAATCTCTGTTTTGTTGCTTTCTGGTAGAGGCCAGGCCGGTGCAGTAGACTGAACATCCTTCTTCAAACAATGTGATTTTTCTCTTCCCAGCTCCACCGCAATGATGTTCGGAGCAAATGCCATGGGACACTGGCCTTCAGTGTCAGAAATTGTGCAAAAACATACTATATATTATAATCCATCGCGTGAGTTTTCGTGCAGTGCACCACGCAGAAGTTTTCGATGTCATCGCGACATGCCAAATATTTGAATTTTTCGTGCAGTGCAGCTGCTTCAGACTTTTCGCCGGAAACATTTGCTGCTGATCCACTCTGGCAACGAAGGTTCCTCTGTTCGATGGGCGCAGTGCCCCCTGAGCCATTTGCAATCGCTTCAAGCTACAGCATTAAACAGTTTGCTAGAAAATCGAGAAGGCTTAGCTTAGCTGTAGAGGACTCTTCAAATGACAACATGATGCTCCCAGCAAAACGGCTCATCTTAGGTTGACACTGATGCATCCTTCGTGCCGGAACAGGAACTTTGTGGATCACAGGAACTTTGTAGATCCTAGCAGGCGGCCCTCGGACATTGAAGTGGCAGGCGCGTACCTGGGCCTCATTCGCCAGGAAAAATCGTGTGGACTCTGCCACTGGATGCGGGCTGGCCGCCAGGCTCTGGCCGCAGAGGAAATCGCGAAAATGGCTTTGCCACCTTCGAAGGCAATCATCTCCAGGCCTGAGGAAGAGTTTGTGATAGTTTGTGCTTCCTGGTCTTCCCCGCCAGTCTAGCAGCGAGCGAGTGAGTAGAGCTGACCCGATTCAAATGCCCTTTGATCAAGTGCGGTTCTGAAGTGCTACTACTACTCCTATTCCTACCACCACTTTTGCAATATCACTCTGGGAAGCCTTCAAACGGCCGGTCCGAATGGGTGCTTGTCGTCCAATCTGAATGGTCCCCAAAGTTAACCGCTTGCCGCCCTGTCCCACACACAATGCGTTGGTGGTCTCTCCATTCAATTCATCGAAATCGAATGCAACCAAGTGAAGTCTGCGGGTCAAACTCTGACGGAAGCACATCGACCGTCGACGAAGGGAAGAAGGCAAATCAGCCTTTCTGGCGATCCGCACTTGTTCCCCATCCGCAGCGATGATCGTTCGCACCTTTTGAAGGAGTTGGGGGCCAATGAAACCGTCATCTGAGTCGGGGAAGAAGGTAAACAATGGTAAACATTTCATCATATGTCATTTTACAATTTTTTTTAACCAGTTCACCACGACTTTGATGTTCTTTTCCGTCCTGAGCCCGAGGGAACTTCGAAACAGGATGGGCCCAGGTTAACGGACAGGCCCCCGGTCTCCGCTTGACTTGGATGATTGCAAGCGCTCCCGCCTCGGTGGGTGCGGCGAAGCAGGGTTTGTTCCAAGCATTTGGGGCGTGCAGTTGCCGGATCTAAAAACATGGAAAGAACAACATAAAAATACGAAAACCAATTTGGGCAGTGCAAACTGCTGAACTGGTTTGTTTATCTGAATAAATTAAACATTGATGCCATGTCATGAAGTACTTGGCATTTTGACACCAAACACCCTTCAAGTGTTTGAACCATTGGCATATTCAACGTCATGAAAAACAAAGGTGAACAATAAGAATACGCAAGTACCTTCGAAATAGACCAACGTCGGTAACAAACAAAATTACACTTTCGATTCCAATCATCCACTGGGCCCTACGCCCCGACCGTCTAGCAACAACCCACCCCATCCTAACCGGTCCATCACGGCATCTGCGTGCCGAGTGTCTCGATTGCCGCGGTCAGATTCTTAACCCGTTGGCATTCAGCGCTGCCATCATTTTGCAACTTTTGCAACACCACGTGGAGTTGCTGCCTGGCCACGACCGGAGGCCATCGGTCGCTGGATGCGTTGTGGGGGGTTGGTGAAAACGACCTGCCTGGAAGGGAAACGGACCTCAACATCCCCCGTGGGTGGACTGCTGGGTGCTTTGCTGGTCAGTATTTAGCGAGCTGGCCTCTAAAGGATGAGTGGCAAAAGATAGAATCTCTAGAAATGGCAAGCAAAGGTGCTTGCGGTGTTTATATAAAGCATTAAAATGCCAAACCAGATCCAGCTGTGGCTAAGGACCAGTGGAAGAACATGTATTATAACGCCTTATGAAATGACAAGCGCAACATCCAAGAAGCAGAAAGAAGAGGCATCTATAAAATGAACATCCAGACGAATGGGTAAAAGATGTTGGGAAACCCGCTTTCACTAAAACATGACAATACTGGATCCCCAAAAAACATAACAAGATGGAGCCCACGAACCCGAATGCAAACACGTTCAAAAAACTACATATGTCCAAATGACACTCTTGTAGGACACTCTTGTGGGACACTCTTGTGGGTCACTCTTGTAGGAAACTTTTCTGGGACACTCTTACGGGACACTCTTGTGGGACACTCTTGTGGGACACTCTTGTAGGACACTCTTGTGGGACACTCTTGTGGGGCACTCTTGTGGGACACTCTTGTGGGACACTCCTGTGGGACACTCTAGTGTCCCACACTGTTGCGGGACACTCTTGTGGGACACTCCTGTCGGACACTCATTTGGGACACTCTTGTGGGACACTCTTGTAGGAAACTCTTGTGGGACACTCTTGTGGCACACTCTTGTGGACACTCTTGTA